TATGAAAAAACCTGAAAAACATTAGAGAAAACACTGAAAATTAATAAAAATTTGAATTTCGCGCGCTTTTACCAAAAGTTGGCCTAGAAAACTCACACCTGGCCGCTAGGCCACCGTTTCCCACTTTGACTTTTCGATGCCGTTTATCTCAATGAAGGCATTTTTTTTGAATTTTTTCGTTATTTTTATGGGGATCTACATGGAATTCTGCACAAAATTAAGCAATAAAACTTTTCACCGCACACCACCTTTAATTTTTCAGCGAAAAATTCAATTTCTAGACCAGAAAAATCGATTTCCAGACGTTTTTTCTGCTTAGCAAAACCTCGAAACCTCGAAAAACTCCCAAAATTACCCTGCAAATTGGACACGAAACGGAGACCATCGTCTGCTCGAGATTCGGCACTCTCCGACGTCCTTGCTCTTCGAGAGCGTTCATGCACGATTGGCACACAGTGTGTGCGCATTGTAATATCTTCGGTGTGTGCAGTTTTCCGTCTGAAAGATCGATTTTTGCAAAAAATTATACGAAAAATGAAGTAATTTCTTTGAAAAATTTGAATTTTCCGGTTTCCCGCTTTCAGTACGACACTCCGCGATAACGCCTAGTGCGCCCGGTTTACCGTAAATCTACATCGCCGGAAATAAAATTTTCATTTTTGAGCTGAAATAAATTCGATTTCTAGCAATTTTACACCGAAAAACCCAAATTTTCGGGTCAAAATTGATGAAAAATCACCTACCATACGGTTCGAGACATACTTGACACGCCGGTGTTCGAACACGTGGCGCTGTAGAGGTACAGCTCTTGAAGCCGAGCATTTTGTATTAGTATGTAGGAAAAAAGAGGGAGAAGTGGCAGACAGGGAGCAGAAATTAGGTTAAAATGACAGAAATCACGGAGACTATTGCTTTCGGCGGTTCAGAAAATCGAAAAATCGCGGGCGGAAAAATAAAATTCGGGTAGATCAAAAATAATTTTTGATTCAAAAAATTCATATTTTGAAAAAAAAACAGCTAAAAATTCAGTTATTCATATATCACAAGTTTCGAGTAGGGCACAAAAAATGTGGTGAATTGGGAAAAAATACGGGAATTTCAGGTGAAAAAATCGAATTTTTCAGCCGAAATTCCCAAAAAGAAAAAAAAATTAGTCACAGGAATTTTTCACAGAAAAAGCTCTTTATAAATCCAAAAATCGCTAAAAAAGGGGAAAAATCACAGAAAAAAATTTGAAAAATCGATTTTTCTTCAAAAACTATGCAGGTAAAAGTCGAGTGAGCGCCCGATCCTGATCGCCTCTCTCAACGGCGACGGCTTCGAAAATTTGATCTCGTGGAAATCCCATTTTCAGAAGGTTGGCACATACATCTGAGTAGCTGAGCACTGTCTGAAAATTTGTGGTTTTTTCTGGCTGAAAATTCTAGAAAGGTCCGAAATGCCTCAAAATCGTACCATTTTATCACTCAATTCGCATTGAATCAAGAATGGAAGCGTTTGATCTACCGTACTCATTCCAGTCTTTTCAATCGTTCGACACGCCTTCATGTAGTATTCAATCTGAAAAAGTTGGATCTTTAGGATGAAAATTCTGATTTTTCGTTCAATTTTCAGTTTTGAAACACTGATTTTACCCCAAAAAAACCATTTGGAAGTCTAGAAATCTCAAACAATTGTTTTTTTTTGAAAGTTTGAAAATTTCGGTTTCCCGCTTTCAGTACGACACTCCGCGATAACGCCTAGTGCGCCCGGTTTAGCGTAAATCGACATTACCAAAAATTAAAAAATTAATTTTAAGGCTGAAAAAAACTCGATTTCTAGCAATTTAAAATCGAAAAATACAAATTTTGGGGTCTAAAAACTCAAAAATCGACCTAAAAAACACATTTCTCACATGAACTAATCGATTTTTCGGCAACAAATTCAGCGATTTTTCCACCAAATCCGTTCGATATCCCTTCGTCAGCAGCCTCTTTTTCAGCTCCTCCTGCTGCGTTTTTCCCAATTTCTCTGGAACATTTTCAGCCGATTTTTCAGTAGGCTTCATATGATTATTGTTGTTGTTCTGGAATGGTAACGGAGACGACGATGATGATGATGAAGGGGGCGGAGCTTGAGGGGGCGGAGTCGATGTGTTCCAGGGATTTGTGAGCATTAGGACCTGCAAAAAATGGGTGTCAATGGCTAGTTTTTTGGATTTTCAGAGTCAAAATTTCCATTTTTAAGTCTGAAATTCACTTTTTTTCAAGCCAAAAATGTATATTTTTCATCTGAAAATCGAGCGTTTTTTAGCACAAATTTGATATTTTTAGGTCCAAAAATGCCATTTTTAGCAACTAAAATTGAGCTTTTTGAGCTTAAAACAGTTCGTTCAAGGTCAAAATTCATATTTTTCGGCTCAAAATTGAGATTTTCGTGTTCGAAATCCACAATTTCGGAACCGAAATTCGTATTTTTTGGTTTGAAAAATGCTGATTTTCAAGTCGAAAAAGGTCATTTTCAGTTCTGAATTTCACATTTTTCCATCCAAAAATTCATATTTTTCAGTTCAAAATTGAGATTTTCGAGTCCTAAATCCGCCAATTTTGAGCTCAAAATTCAATTATTCTGATTTGAAAAATGCACATTTTCAGGTCCAAAAAGGCTCCAAATTTGAGATTTTTAGGTCCAAAATTTGCATTTTTTGAGTAGAAAATTTGCTTTTTTTAGCGTCATATTTCCAGTATTTCGAAGCTTATTTTTGACAGCTTCTGGTCCAATTTTTGTCTTTTTTGAGCCAAGAAAACGCATTTTTGAGTATTTTAAGCCATTTTTCTCACCTCCTGCAACGCTTTCTTATCATCCAGAGCCAAAATTTGCATATCATCAAAAACGTTATTCGTCGATTCGAATTCGTGAAGTGAGTGTGGCATGGATACGGTATTCGGTGTCGTTGGATTCGCCGCCGTTCGTATTGAGGGGGCAGAGTTAACGGGACATGGGACGAGAACGTTCTGGAAGAAAAGTATAGAATTTTGGTTGAAAATTGGCATTTTTAGAGTTAAAAATGAGCTAAAAATCGTGGTTTTTATGTCCGAATCAGGCTAGAAATTGAGCATTTTTGGGCTACAAATCTACCAAATTTAGGAGCAAAATTGGCTTTTTTTGCTCCGAAACTCACTTTTTTAGCTGGATTTTGAGATTTTTAGCGTCTAATTTCGTATTTTTAGGTCCAAAATAGTATTTTTAGAGCTCAAATCAATTGGATTTTCGGTCGAAAATGCACTATTTTTGATCTAAAAATTGTGAATTCTCAGAAGCCGAAATTCAGATTTTCAATCCAAAATTGGAAATTTTTCCTTCTGGAAAAAGTAATAAATTTGAGTAGAAATTTGTATTTTTAGAGTTAAAAATGAGCTAAAAATCGTGGTTTTTATCCGAATCCGGCTAAAAAAGCGGAATTTTTTAGAAAAAAAAAAGTGAGCCGAAATCGATATTTTTATGTGAAAAATCCATATTCTGGGCTGAAAATCTAGAATTTTTTAGTTAAAAAATTACAAAATTTAGGAGCAAAACTCCATTTTTTAAGCTCGATTTTGAGATTTTTAGGTCCAAAATCAAGTATTTTAAAGTATAAAATGTGTATTTTTAGAGAATCGGTGGATTTTTGGTCTAAAATGCACTATTTTAGATCTAAAAATTGTGAATTTAGAAGCCGAAATTCCGATTTTCAGGCCAAAGTTGGACATTTTTCCTTCTGGAAAAATTAGTGAATTTGGGTAGAAATTTGTATTTTCAGAGTTGAGAATGAGCTAAAAATCGTGTTTTTTAGGTCCGAATCCGGCTAAAAAAGCGGAATTTTTTAGAAAAAAAGTGAGCTACAAATCGTATTTTTCAGGTATGGATCCGGCTAGAAATTGAGCATTTTTGGGCTCAAAATTTACCAAATTTAAGAGCAAAACTTTATTTTTTAAAGCTCGATTTTTGATTTTTTTTTTTGAGATTTTCAGGTCCAAAATAAAGTATTTTAAAACTCAAAAAATGCATTTTTAAAGCTCAAATCTGTGTATTTTCGGTCTAAAATGCACAATTTTAGATCCAAAAATTGTGAATTTCAAGCCAAATTTGGACCTTTTTAGGTTTAAAAATTGGAAAAAAAGCCTTTTTTTCTAAAAAATCACCTGTGACAACACATCCATATTGGATTTCGACTCTGACGTCTTCACAAATTCTGAAGAAGACGTGGAATTCGTGGTCCCCCCTGCTGATGACGTCGTCGTGGTCGTTGAATCCAGTGTAATCGGCTCATTTTGTTTATCAAATTGCTCACGGGCTCGACTTTCCGCTTCAAATGAGTACTGTAACTTGATAGTTTTGAATCGTATACAAAAATTTGTTTATTTTCGACACAATAATATGAAAAATAGGCTAAAAATAATGCAATTTTTGGCTCTAAACCACTCGAGTAAGGCCAAGAAAAACGATTTTTTTCAAGCTAAAAACAACTAAAAATCAAATTTTGGCTCATTTTTCAAACAAAAAGTACCTCAAAATTGGAAAAAGTGAGCTTATCCGGTATGTGTATCATATCCACTCGAATATTTTGTGTCGGAAAGAACTTGCGGCTCATATCCATCGGAATATCTCGAATGTAGTCTGTAACTGGGGGAAATTGAAGAAAAATCTCGTTTTTCAAGCTTTTTGGTCGATTTTTTATGATTTTTATTTGAAAAATCGCGTTTTTCAGTCAATTTTGAGTCTGGAACATAGGGTTTTTTTTTCAAAATTTTCAGCTCAAAAAAAAGTATTTTTTCAGATTTTTCAAAAATTCGAAACATTTGAAAATCCTGGTTTTTCGATCGTTTTGACTGATTTTTCGTGATTTTTATTTAAAAACTCGCGTTTTTCAGTCAATTTTGACTCGGAAAATTGGTTTTTTTTATCTTTTGAGCCAAAATTTTCGAAAAAAGTTTTTTTTTGAAAATGTTTAAAAACTTGAAAAATTGATATTTTAAGAATTTCTGGAGCTTTTTTAACTCGAAATTATTAGTTTTTCTCTCGATTTTCAGAATTTTCAGCTCAATTTTTTCCAGCCAAATAAAGACAAAATTCCGAAACTTACCATGAAAAACATCATCGAAACTCATTATATTTCGCAATATCAGCCAGCTAAACAAGGAAACTGAAAAACGAAAAAGGCGAAAATGCGGCAGAAAAGAACAAGAAGATTACAGCGTGTGACCCGGAATGAGAAAAGAAACAAATGCGAGAACCGTGCGGCGCGATGGCGAAACAGCGCGCCGCACGCCTGCAAAACAGTGGGCGGAGCCTCGATGAATAGCCAATTTGGCTAATCCGCATCGATTTTAATGCGGGTTTCGACGAAAATTATGGATTTTTTCAGCAAACAAATATGAAAAATGTATAAAATAGCAAAAATTCCGTTTAGAATATTCTATGGCTCATTTCATATTGGACGGTATCAGTGTGATTTATGTCTCCTCGCTGGCTGCACTGGTGAGTCATCGATTTTTATTTATGAGTGAAATCAGCGAAAATTGTGCTCAGTTTTTATCAAAGTGTGTGGTCGGAAGCATAGAAAATTGAAAATCAAAAATTAAAAAATATATATAGAAAAAAATAATTTGTCTTTTCCGGCTGAAAAATACGATTTAAAAGGCTAAAAATGTGTTTAAAAATTTGAAATGCTTAAAAAATGCCGATTTTAGTGAAAAAATCAAAAAAATTTTTAAAAAAAATTGTGCCAAAACTATTTTTTTTTTGTTTAAAAAAGTTTGTTTTTCTTCCTCATACACAATAATGCATTAGTCATTCAGAAGCAAAAATATGCAATTGGAAGGGTAAATAAAGAAGAAAAAGAGGGATGAATCATAAAAAGGTCATGGGAATCCCTACACAAAAAATAGTACAGTAATCCAAAGAAATTTGAATTTTTCTGACGAATTTTTGCTGAGTTTTCGCTGAAAATACACTTAGAAACATGGATTTTCCAATATTTTTGCTGAAAAAGACCCTGAAAACTGAATTTTTGTTTCTCAGATTCTAATATGGGTGATCATCATCGGACAACGTCAGATTTGGAGACATCGACACAACGTGGCAAGGGTTAGACCACAGGTGAGAGGCTGGAAATGCTGAAAAATCGAAATTTCTAGAATTTTTTCTCGAATTTCTTGGTTTTTGGCTCAAAAAGAGCCCAAAAATACGAAATTCGGCGGAAAAAAACCTTTAAAAATAGCTTTAAAATTCTCAAAAAAACGGGAAAAGGTCCATTATAAAAAGCGGCAAAAATTGCACTTTTCCGTTTTTTCGAATCAAAAAATGCTCAATTAAGTGCTAAAAAATGATTTTTGCCATTTTTTGACCTCAAATTGGCTCTGAAAAAGCCAAATTTCGTCTGAAAATGATGAATTTTTGCACCAAAAATGCTCAAAAAGGACAGTTTTCCAACCAAAAATAGGTCATTTTGGCTCGAAAAATGACGAATTCAAACTGAAATCGACCTCTAAAAATGGCAAAAAATAGGGTAATTTTCATACTAAAAATATCAAATTTGAACATAGAAAACACATTTTTGCTCTGAAATTCATCATTTTCCGGGTCAAAATTTTTCATTTTTGACCAATTTCAACCCTAAAACCCCTTGAAAAACCCAATTTTCACTCCAAAATCACCCCTAAAACCTTCCAGATCGCTCTCCGTTCGAGAATCTTTAAGCTCAAAAAACGAATAAAATTTTCCAATGCGAAGCTGAAAATCAAAAAAAAATCTGCTCCAACCAAAGTTTATAATTTTTTTAAACGAAAAAATTCTATTTTTTTCACCAATTTCAACCCTAAAACCCCTTGAAAAACCCAATTTTCACTCCGAAATCACCGCCAAATCCTTCCAGATCGCTCTCCGCTCTCGAATCTCCTCCAACAAGGCCGTGACCCTTCGCGAAACCCAACTAGACGCCGTAATGCGTCTTCGAGCCGAGAATCAAGCCCGTCTCACCGACTGTATCTCTCTTCAATTCCGTCAGTTATCTCATGAGTGTTGCACGTTGTCCGATATGTGGCGTACTTGTTCTGATGTCTTTTTCAATGCATGATTCTGATTTTTTACTAAAAATTTACTGGTTTTTTCTTTTTTTTCCCGTTGTTTTTTGTTCATTTTAACCCATTTTCACTCTATTTTAACTTTAAAATCGCTCAAAATTCCAAATACGCTCTATCGATAACACTATTGTTCGATGGGGCGCGGCGATAGCCGTCTGGTCGCTCTGCCAAACAATTTATCAATAGAGCGCATTTTATGATCCCTGATCCCTACTGTGTTCTAACCTTGCATGATAATCACTAATAAAATCACGGCAAATTTGCTCTATTGAGAATTCATTTGAATCCTCAATGCGCTCCACCGAACAAAACGTGGAATTTGCAGACAGCGACAAGCCGTATGTCCACCGGATGATCGCTGTGGACTCAGTCTGTCTGGAAATCGATTCTCAGCTGAATCGAATCGAAGGAGCCGTTCAACGACAACCCGGTGAATCGACGTATTCATATCTGAAGAGAATCCGAGAGAAAGTCCCAGCGATTCCTTTAAATTTGGTGCATCGCATCGCTTTCCTACAAGAGGCCGCCCGTTTTCGACCCGAGAAATTCGATGTCGCAGAAGTGATGACGTTGAGATCATCGTTGAATCAGTTTTTGAAAATGTGAGCGGGGGTTTGGCGGGAAATTTGAAATTTTTTGAAAATCTGAAAATTTTGAAATTTCGAAAAATCTGAAAATTTATCACTTGAATAATCTGAAAATTCAGAATTTTCAAAATCTGGAAATTCGGAAATTAGAAAAATCTGAAATTTAAAAAATCAGAAAATTCAGAAATTTGAAAATTTAAAATTTTGAAAATCTAAAAATTCAGAAAATTAGAAAATTCAGAAATTAGAAACATCTGAAAGTTCAAAAATTTGAAAATTCAGAAATTTGAAAATTTTGAAAATTCAGAAATTTTGAAAACCTGAAAAGTTTGAAAAACCAAATTTTGAGTTTTCTCCTCAAAAACTCTTTAAAACTTCATAAAATCCCCCAAAATTCTTAAATTCCTAGCCTGATTTCCGAAATTCGGCGCTGGCCGAGTTTTCGGGATTTCTAGGCCAGATTTTGAAAAATTCGAAAAAAATCCGTTTGATGGCCTAGAAATCCAAACTTCGGCCATCTGAAAAACTTGAATTTTCATAAAAATTAATTCCAAAATTCGGCTCTGGCCGAGTTTTCGGGATTTCTAGGCCAGATTTTCTGATGTTCAAAAAAATTTTAAATTTTCAGACCATTTTTCGAAAAGTAAAAGCTCGAGAATGTCCAAATCGTGGCCTAGAAATCCCAAACTCGGCCACCACCTAAGCGAAAAAATACATATGGCCGAGTTTTCGGATTTCTGGGCCAGATTTTCAGATTTTTGAATATTTCGGTTTTTCCAGCAATTTTCGATTTTTAAACTGTTTACAAAATATGTGAAATATCTGAGAAATTTTAATTGATGGCCTAGAAATCCAAACTCGGCCACATGAGCGAAAATTTGGATTTCTAGGCCAGCTTTCCAAAATGTTCGAATGTTTCGATTTTTGTCATCGGAAGTGTATTTTTGAATGAATAAGAAAGTGTTTGTGGCCTAGAAACCCTTGTCCATGGCCTAGAAATCCCATTCCTCTTCCAGATTATCCGCTGAATACGATTCGCTAGCCGATGAGCCGGACATGGCGGCGCCACGTGGCGTCATCGCCTCCTTTTATCAATTTGGACAGAAAATTATGCCCAATAATTCGGGATCCAAACGACGAAGGAACAAATTTGGCGGCAGTGATGGTAAATTTGAAATTTTTTTTTTTTCAAAACAATTTTTTTCCCAATTTTTCAATTATAGTTTGCTCTCAGGAATGTGTGTAACAGCCTGTTTTCCTCTAAAAGCATGAAAATATTTCCAGGCGTTCGTCTACTGATGAAGGAGCGAGAAGAGCAAATGTCGCTGCTGTCACCGTTGGCACGTGGATCCACAGATTCCCCTGGAGCGCACTTGCGACGACAGTCCGATTCGCACTCGGCACTTTTGCCTCAATAATAGGAATTTTGAAATTTTGAAAAAAATTTTATTTTTTAAATATATTTTTTTCCCACTAAAAATCTAAAAATAGCAAGATTTTTCCTCAGTTTTCATCTTGTTTTGATGTTTTTTAGGCTGTCATTATACTATTATTTCTCATGTTTAACTCATTTTTTTCTTTGTTTTTAGTACAAAATTTCGATATTCCCGCCCTTATATTTATGTATTTAAGACGCTGTAACGGGTTCTGCTCCTCCTCCACCAAACTGCAACGATTCACCGGCTCACTGAAATTTCTTTGCGATTTTTTCTATGAAAAAAAATGAAGAATTAAAAAAAAAATTTTTTCAGATTTATACTGTAATTTCTATTTTTTATGGTCTTAAACCGCCATTTTTATATCTCTCTTGCTCTTTTTTAAAGCGAAAATTCGAAATTTTCGCTATTTTTAACCGGTGGCCGAAGTTTTGCAAATTCTAGGCCACCACTGGAAAATTCGATTTTTTCTCTCATTTTGGCTGAAAAAAAAACATTTTTTTGTCAGATTCCAAAAAATTCAAAATTTCCAGGCGACGACGGGATTACTGTAGATATTTGGGGATTACTGTAGAAACATGAAGTTTCTAACTTCATGTTTTGTGGCCATCATCCTCTTCGGACCGACACTGCAAATGTGGGACAGTCCAGGAACCAGGGCGCAAGCGGCGAAAATGCCCAAACCAGGTGAGCAAACACGCTCTATTACACTTTAAATCGATTTATCTCGGTTCCTGTAAGAGATATCAAAAAGTTGTCAACTGATAACATGATAAGGATAATGTTGGCTACATTTTATCAGTTGATCACTTTTTGATATCTTTCAAAGGGACCGAGATAAATTGTGTCAAGATCTGGGGGTCCTAGTGACTCATTAGAGCGCACTTTCTAATGACGTAGTTGGTTCTTTTTAAGTAGCACACATAGACATGACGTGATAATGCTCTTTCCGATTGATAACAGGTCTAGCTGCTGATAAAAGACCCCCATATAAAAATTCTGCATTTTCTCTGTGTCTCCTCCACATACAGTACTCTCCAATAAGGTATACAAAAACATAATATTTTCGCAGAATTTTTAGAAAATTCCGAATTTCCGGAAAAACCCTTTTTGACCCGTTTTTGAACTGAAAACGAGGTGTGTCCTTCAGAAGTCAGGAATTTCAAAAAAATTCTGTCAATTCAAAATTTTCAATTTTGGTCTGTTTTACACCCTCCAAAACTTTCAAACTGATCGGAAACTTGACAGTTGACCTCTAGACTCCTGAAAATGCCAAAAATCATCTGAAAATTACGTTTTTGTATACCTTATTGGACAGTACTGTAGGTGGATATATATATATATATATATATATATATATATATATATACCGTAAAACCTCTAATAGAACGACACCCGGATCGTCCACTTTGAGCCTATATATCTCATTTTCTG